CGGGAAGGGAAAGGTTCCCCCTTGTCCTGTCCCAGCGACAGGACAAGGGGCAACGGGCACAAACTGAGGCACAGGAAGCTCTGTCTGAACCTGAGGAAGAATTTCTTCCCTCTGAGGGTGACAGGGCACTGGAACAGGCTGCCCAGGGAGGTTGTGGAGTCTCCTTCTCTGGAGATATTCCAACCCCCCTGACCGCGGTGCTGTGCAGCCTGCTCTGGGTGACCCTGCTTGGGCAGGGGGTTGGGCTGGGTGACCACAGAGGTCCCTGCCAACCCCTACCATTCTGTGATTCTGTGATCGCTCCGTCCGTGCTCTGTGTCCTTACACCCCGTGCCTAAGTGATGGTTGGACTTGGTGATCTTAGAGGTCTTTTCCAACCTTAATGGTTCTGTGATTCTAGCAATGTCCCAGTGCAACAGGGCCTTCGGCGCGTGCCGTGCAGCTGGGATGCTCCCTTGCTTTCGGCCCGGGGCTTTGTGCTCAGGAGAGGCTGCAGCAAGCCCTGCCCAGCAGAAGAGCTGCGGTGGAGCGTTGAAGAGGGGTCGCATCCCCTGCCTTTAATCAACTCCCTTTGGAGTCAAGTGGCCTTTTAGCATCTGAGAGCTGCCTCTGCCCTACGCGGGACAAAGGGGAAAGCGCTTGTCAGGGTGTAAATACCCGTTGCCGAGTGCTTTCAGTCCCCCTTAGCCCTTTGCAGAGAGAGAGCCGAGATCAGAGAGTTACTAGCCATTAGAGGAGAAGTGGAGCACAGTGACTGAAGCGCTTCAGAGGTGGACATCGATTCGGGGCTTGGTTTGCTGATGACCAGCTCCTGGTGCTGCAGCAGAGCAGCGAAACGGCTCCTGAGCTGCTTGGGGTCCGTTTGCCGCCGCGGTGACGCTGCTGTGGCCCTTCCAGCCGTACCTGAGCCGGTCAGGCAGGGTCTGAGCTTGTGCTTTCTCCTCTCATTCCTTCCTTTCTCTCTACCAGGAGGACTTCGACTCGGAGCAGCTATCGGTGCTCGCATCCTGCCTCCAGGAGCTATTTAAGGCTCACTTCCGTGGTGAGGTTTTGCCAGAAGAAATCACGGAGGAGTAAGGATCTATTTTTTGTGCGTCTCATCCTTTTGCACTGGGACTTGGGCTTTTCCCAGTGAAATATTCCCCATTTTCAGAAGTCCATGCTGGAGCCAGCAGCTTCCCCGGCGAAGCAATCCAGGGTTCGCAAGCGGTCGGTGTGGAGCTGGTCAGCAGTTGTCAGCTCCAGGGCTCAGCAGAGACCATCTCCCTCCTCCCCGCAAGCGCAGGGAGAACCTGCTGCCGCAGGGCCTGGTGTCAGAGCTCAGTTTAGGTGATGCTCTGGTGGCTTCTGACCGTCTGGCCGGGTCACCCAGGGTCTGAGATGCTCCCTCTGTCCCTGCTGTACTCACACAAACCAGCACTCTACACTCTTCCTCCAGGATTTTGTTGGGACAGGGCTCGCAGTCGGAGCTGCTGGGTGCTGTTAGCAGGGCCGTTCCCGTCTCCCCGTTAGCTAGGGCGAACCCCTGGTGGCCCGAGGACCTCCGTGAACAAGGTCCAGGGCTTTTCCCCTGCCGTTGCTGGGGAAGCCCAGAGGGTGGGCGCAGGCAGAGCTCTGACGGTCACGTTTGTCCCGCAGGTCTCTGGAGGAGTCGGTGGGGAAGCCTCTCTACCTGATCTTTAGGTATGTCTGCTCTGAAATGTTTGAGTAATCTAGGGCTTTCTTGTTTGCTTCCTGACCACCACTGTGGGTGAACCCTGTGTGGGTCTGATCCTGCCACGGCCCTGCTTGCCCCAGGGCTGATCCCAGAATTTATTGCTTCGCTCTACCTGTGCTGCGTTTTGTTCAGTAAAAAGACTTCAAATACAGGAAAGTCGCAGCTTGTTTGGCCCGTTGTGGCAGCCAGGGATCCCCGGTGAAGTCTGCTGGGTCCTGACCCCTTGGTGGCTGCGCGTCCCCTGCGGCAGGGCTGGGAGGTGGCCCCTGCGCCCTGTCCCGAGAGCGGGTGGCCAGGGCTGCCTGGGGCTGGGAGCTTCCCGTGTTAACGGGGCTGTCTCCCCACCCTCTGCTCCCCAAGGAACCTCTGCCAGATGCAGGAGGACAACAGCGGTTTCTCTCTGCTGCTGGATCTCCTGTCGGAGCTCTATCAGAAGCAGCCCAAGATCGGCTACCACCTCCTGTACTATTTAAAAGCCAGGTAGGCTGTGGGGGTGGTGGGGAAGTGTCTGAGCTTCGCCGTGGCTGGT